TATATTATATATTATTATTAATTATTAATTATTATTATCATTATTATTAATTATTCATTATGTAATCCGAATACCGTGTTTTTCGCTGCCGCGCGTGCACGCGTCTGTCACGATCACACGAAATAATTAACGCGCGAAAGAAATGCACGTCCGAGCGCGCGCATTGTTTCCAAGTACAGTCATTACAAACGCAATCTATCTTGGCCGTTCTGCTCCGAGGATTCATTCAACCATCTCGTTCGTGCAATATCGAAGAAAATATCTCGTTTTCGTTGTATCCCCATTTCACGGAACTGTGCACAGCCATGATCTTATACACAAGATGTTTGTTACCTGTTAAGTTATTGAGGTGAATCTTGCCCATTGTATAACAATTATATCAGGTCCAGTTGGTCTCAATAATTACTATCGTTTTTCGTTAAAACTGAGCTATCGGTTATAATATCACGCGAGAATCTCGCTCGTGTTACGCAGCGTAGCATCAGGCTGAAATGTATCTTCTTATATGTGATCTCTATGAACTTCCGTTTTATCATATATTTTGTGATATCGTAGAGTGAATTCTAGGACTACATATGTCGAAAATGAGGTAATTTTGAATAGTACTTTTCTTCACGAGACACATTAAGAAAAGGCTTAATTCCGCATGAACGAGGATTCCAAAATACGTATATGTATATATATATTCATATATACATATTTCATCAGTGAATTATGACATACTCATTTAGACATATTATGCATATCTTTTGTTCCAACCAGTCGCACAGGTTTGCTAGAAAGAGCTATACAAAATTGAAACGATTGCAGGCACGTCTAATGGTGGGCCGTAAGTTGCGCGAGTTCCGCTAATAGATTTGAAATTAAAATCCGATAAGTAGATCATAATGATGCTGAAGAAAGGCGCAAGCTAGTAAGAATTAAAGAAAGAGGAGACGATGCGTTTTGAAAGAAAGCAACACCTTGCGTGCAAGAGCGTTAATATTACCTGAATCGTGTGCTCGTGCTCCTATCTGAAAACATAGAGCTCTGCTTGTACCTGGCGCCGAAAGTGAATCCTTGCCGTCAATTTGGCGACACCGGTACAGAACGGCCAAGGATGAGGCAAAACTGGAGAACCGTAATCGCGAAATGACGACGTGCCGTAAATGATTTCGTGATGAAAATGATATATTACATTTTTGCGAGTTACTTATTTCGAGAGGTGGATTCTAACGGGGAGTTATAATCGTTAGAGAATTATGAACGTTTTCTCATATGAGAAACGAACGCGATCGTTGAGACGCTTCCGCTTCGATCGTCCGCGCTGTCACGCGCTCAATACGCTTTGTCGCACGTGACGTCCCGAAGATAATCAGAATCGAGGACGGCTACTCTCGTCTCTCGTCTGTAATATTTATAGTAATAATCGCTCGCGGTCGTATCGCGGGATTTTGTCGTCGTTTTCGCTGTTTTTTCTACCTCTTCTCTAGAAATCGAGACGTCGCGCTTTAGCGAGCTTCGCGAGCTGAATTAGCGTCGGCGAGCAGCGCGGGGGATCGCAAGCCTAATCATATCGGGTACCGGGAAGGAGGAGAAGTATAGATGAGAGATTTGAAGCAAAGAGCATCTCCGGAAGCCGAATGGCGGCATCGTCAACGTGTTACGGTCTGAAACATAATAAAAGTAATGAAAGAATATTATTAATATTATTAATTAATTAATAAATGAAATAAGATATATATCTCTTTCTTCTCACTACGATATAAAATATACAGTGAATGATAATTCTATCTCTCTTTGCTACCAAGTTGTACTTATTCTTAATTAATTTACTTGTACAAAAGAATGTGTTAAATAATAATGAAATATATAATATAATATAACAAACACAATTATAAATAATACATATTATAATTATAAATATATAAATACATATAAATATACATATATATATAAAAAAAAAGGAACACTACGATATATACAGGATGTCTCAGAAATATCGTCACTCCTTTCATCTATGGATTCCTTCACCGACTTTTTCCTTCAATGTATAAATTTACAAGTATTCATATCGTTGATTTCTCACAATATAATTTTCAAAACTGAATAAGACTCTTAAAATGAAATTTTCAAGATTAGCTTATAGTGTTCGAAGGTATCGATTTCATTTCTATCGAAGAATCGATTTCAAATTGATCAAAGAATTCCCGGATGAAAGAAGCTGTCACAATTCCGGGATACCCTGTATACACACGTGTATACATATACATTACAGTGTTGGTTATCTGATATTACTGCATAATTATGATTACGATGCGATTATTGTTCATTTGAATTATAAACTTATTATTGCCATTGTCACTGCTGTCGCCGTTGAAATCATCGCTACACCGTTATCACTTGTACTATCGCTATCGCGAAACACGAGGCGCATACGCGTTCGGCGCTATAGTGATTTTGAAAATGATACGACACGCGGGTCAAATTAATAAACACGCATACGCTATATATACATATACAATTGCGATCGTTGCTTGCGCTACGATACGACGAGGGTGACACGATAATGATGATTCAGAACGCGATTGAAGTCGCTCCCGTCTATCCCTTAATTGTAGAAGCGATTCGTTCTACGAATGCGAGGAGAGTAATAAACGTGAGTGTGAACGCGAAAAATGAATTAAAGGACTTCCCTTTCGCATACACGAACTTTCACGGACCATCCACCTTTCGGATAACAGTCTTGACTTGTGCCTTGTTTAGACGTTTCCAATCATTTCCAATCGACTCGCGTTTCGATTCGCACATCCTACACTCAAATAAACTCATCCCCAACGTTGTTCTTTTATGAGAGAAATATTTGATAAATCCAATGCGATCGCGCGCGTCTCCGCCGTCGTCCTTTCTTTTAAAGAAATGGTCTTCCTCGGTGACTTCTTGTAAACGAAGAAATTGATTCCTCGTGCTTTCTTAATGGCGTGATATAAATTCTTAAAAAATTGTCCCCATCAAATTAATTAATTTCATTCTGAGAGCCGCGACATTATTTCAAATTGATCTATCTTAGAACGACTTGGGTATGCGGACATCCTATTCATTTGTTTGAGAATATAGCACCGTGCCGACACGATATACATTTTATATCCTTCCATAGATAATACACGCAACAGTTATCACCGTATATGCGTAAAACGCGCGTTTTGAATTACTCTTTATACCATATATACATCAAAGTGAGAAAAATAATGTATAACATACTAATACATGCGTTTTATATATGTACAGTGCTTTGCGACAAACTATAAGATTGAATTGGAAACTATGTAGGTAAGATTCACAAAAATATTATTTAGCCACCAAAATTTGCTTTTGCCTTTAATCTGCTTTTAAAACTGGTATCTTATTCATTTTATTTAAAAAATAGATTCTTATAGGGTTTTAATTTGTGACTCAGTCATTGGACTATCTTTAAAAGTGAAAGTAATAAGAAAAAGATGTCTAAATTATTATTAAGGAAAAATTAGCTTTCCAAGTTTCTCAAAGAGCCTGTTGATACACGCATAATATAATTTATCATGTAATCGCGTATAACCCTCTGCATATATAATACACGCATAATTAGATATTATACACGCAAAGCCTGTATTTTCTGCGTTAGCTTCATTTCATCCTATATCACACACACACACACACACACACACACACACACACACATTTGTGATAAATAAACCGTTTAAGCGGTGTCTCATTATCGTAACAGAATCGTTTAACTGCGAAAGCGTCTTTCAGGGGAGAAGTTCGCGCTTCTGTGCAACTGAGCGTGATCTTTTGTAATAATCCTTGTTTTTTCTTCTTTTTTTTGTTAGCGACTGAACTATCGTGCTGTGTATGATTCTTCGTGACTACATTGCGCTCCCTACACAAACTCGATAACGTACTCATTACATATCCCTTGGTTCTTACGTTTAGCGTGGAATCAGGCTTCGTTTGACAAGCAGAGACCTTATCGGACTCAAGTGTAGAGTATAATAATTATCATTATTATGGAAATTTGAAAGTAACATTTGCGATTTATAATTTTCCCGATTGTAAATGCAATACGGAACGATTTGTCAGGAAAGCTGCGTTCTTTTTCTTTTAACATCCTAACTTACGACGATATCGTTATCGCCGCATTGCAAAGTCTACTGAATCTTACTAAGTTTCTTTAACGTATTTTCTAGTATTATCGTTATCATTTTCTTTCTCTCATCGGCGAAAATTCCGAGGAAAGAAAAGAAACAAGGAAGAAATAGAACTTTCGGGGACTCCCCTCGCGAGTCGCATCGAATGCAACTAATCGAGTTTCTCTGAGAAACAATTTTATGTACCTGTTACGACTGATTATTATCGTGTTGTACATCGCTAATAAGGGCAGCGAGAAAGAGAATACGTGTATATATATGTACATACACATGCCCATACGCGCGCGTATGTATATATATCTATATAGTATATTATCGTACTGTTACGATTGTTTTGTAACTATCGTTATATGTCATTGGCTGCTTGTTACCGACGGCTTGCGATCGGCTAATTATACATCGCTGAACCGTATGTACATATCGAGTTTTAAGGAGGGCATGCGTGAAGCGTGCGTACGAAGCAAGTCAGTTACGCCATAAGTTAGCTCATTTCTATAAGAAATTAATTTGAATTGATAATCTTCATTAAAAATTTACTTCCTTTTCGTTGTAATGAAATATACGTATAAGCGAGAAAATATACTCAATTGCACGGATAATTTTTGTCAATGCTTACAGAAATCCAATTTAATACTGGAAATTACTTATTTTGAGTAATAAAAGCACTGTTGTTCAGTGGTTTTAATTTTCAAAATAAATAATTTCCAATAATGAATTGCCCGGTATTAAACTACATATTTTGAGTATTAAAAGCTCTGTTGTTTAACACTCAAAATAAGTAACAAATTATTATCTTGTAATATAAAATTTCTGTAAAGGAACTTTGATCCCTGTTCAATCAAGCTTCCTGCGGCAATGACGCTTAAATAGTTGAAAAGATATAGTTAATTGCAACTGTGCTGACCGATATTGGCACAACGAACTTACATCGTACGTATGCATCGTGGACCCAATTATTTAAGGCGTACAATGTTCGCCTGCATATCACTTGCACGATTGTTTTTTGCAAATGATGCGCGGAAGATAGATATCTTAATGCTCCCTTTAACGAACGACTGAAAACTATGAAGGAAAGAAAAGACATGTCCCGAGAGAGATGTATGTATGAAGGAGTCAGGTCTTATAGATATATTAATATCGCCATTAACGTATTCTATTGAGAGATTCCCTTGTTCCGTCATAAATTCCAACGCTTCGGTTGTATTTTGTCCGATCAAGAAGCTCGAGTGTAGGATATTTCTCACGAATATTAAATTATTCATTTAGTCTCTCTCTCTCTCTCTCTCTCTCTCTCTCTCTCTCTCTCTCTTTCTTTTTCTAATAATTTCGCGCAACAATATCTGCGAAGCACGGCGTGATCGCATTTCCCTATTTAATAACTGTACCTGTCTAAAGCGTGTCGTTTAATTAAATCTATTTTCTACGCTCTGTGCCAGCGTCGTGTTTGGCGTTTTACATGAATAGATAAGGGTTCCAGAACGCGCGACAAACGTGGCATATTGCTGTCCGGAATACGACCGGGCGGCAAGAAGAGAACACACATTGGAGATTGCGACTCTTTAATCTTTTCCAAACAAAAAACAAAAAAAAAAGAAATATTATAGCCTTAGACTCTGTTTCTCTCGTTCCTTTCATGCGAGCGTTGCCCGGTGGATGTGACGTATCTTCTTGAGAATGAAAACCGTACAGAAAATATAATAAATACATCGGAAATGTGTGCGTATGTGTGTATGTGTGTGCTTCCCATCCAATTTTGCAGATTTGAAGAACCGGATTCGTGTTTCATCATACGTAAATGACGCTTAAAGGATCACAGGACTCATAAGAAAATCATTAGACATATTAATGATAAAAAACGCTGATATATTATGACTTTTTTTACATTAAAACGATTGGCTTGTGAGCAGATGTATTCAAGAAAAACACTTGTCTGCTGAAGGAGATACGAGAACGAAAATCTCTCGATAAAAGTTGCTCTCCGATTCGTAATTAACCGAGATATATCCTCGCTTTATCGTTCCATAATACATGAAAAATCTTTTGGTAAGTAATTACTAAAACGCTCAAAATGTTCATAAATAATCCGGTGGGTTCGAAAGCCTTTAAATAATAAAATCAAAATCTGACGCGTCGAATCACATTGTTCTCCAGATTTTATTTTACGAAGTAACATCCAAATCTTTCGCGAAGAAGTAGAAATTTGAGAAAGAGAAGTATCTTCGGTACACTCTCGTTATTGAACGCGTTGCTCTAAGCTCATTGTTATGTTATAAAATTAAAGCAAGAGAGAGAGAGAGAGAGAGAGAGAAATAGAAGATTCAAGGAGATAATCCTTGGAGCACATCCATCGGGCGATGCCATAAGCAACGCGCGAGAACCGCAATAACTTCTCGCGACATTCAACGATGATGGAAAAGAACTGTATATACACGTGCGTTTATTATTATCTACTATTACAAGACTTACTCCTAAGATCTTTTGACTAAAATACTTTATAGAAGCGAGACTCTGATCGCGCGTGGAGAACGACAAAAAGAAAGAGCAAGGACTGCATCGCATACATTGTTTAGCGCCATTGTGACTCTATCTCCTTCTTAAAAAAATAAGTATATACATATATGTATATATATATATATATATATATATATATATATATAT